GGGTAAAAGGCTGAATCCTATCACCTACAAGGCCGTGCGGGTTTGTCCCTCCCCTACCATTACCTTATTACCACTGCTCACTCTGATAAGCCAAACGGGTCTTGTGCTATTCCTCTAACACTTTGGACATAGCTCATTCCTTCACCTCCTTCAACTCTTTGTATAATCGTCTCCTTCTTAATGAGGCCTTCCCTAGTCACTCTACTTAAAATTACAATACCCTTTCCACTGTACTCCCTATTCCCCGTCTCCTATTTTTCTCTATGTGCCTTATCACCATTTGACATACCATACATTTTACTTTTTATTTTGCCTTCCCTCAGTAAAATACAAGCTTTATGAGAGCAAGGATTTTGTCTGTCTTGTTCACTGCTATATCCCTAGCACCCACAGTAACTGGGACATGGCAAGTGCTCCATATTTTCTGAATAAATCCCAAGTCTTCATCATCAGCTTTCAGCTCTTGAGTGAAAGACCCACATTTCCAACTGACTACCTGACATCTCTTCTGCACAAAACTGGCTTCTCCTCCTCCCAACCCAGATTAAAGGTATCACTGCCCAAACCCTAAAGTCACCTTTCATTCTTTCCGTATCTAACTGATCTGTAAATACTTAAAATTCTACATCCTAAGTGTCTTTCAAATTCATTCCTATTCTTTTGAAATCTTGATATACTTATTCAATTGACAAATAGTTATTGAGCACCTACTGTGTGTCTAGTATTATCTTGGATACAGGGAAATAATCATGAGCAAAACATAGAGTCCTTTCTCATACAGAGCTTACAATCTTGTAGGGAACAAGGCAATCAATGATCAGATCCGTTTTTCATATTTTCAAATGAGGATAATAGAGGTATTAACCTTATAAGATTATTATGAGAATTAAATCACTTAATGTATATAAATGGCTTCAGTGTTTTGCCATATAATAAATGCTAAGTGTCAGCAATTAATGAAGATAACCATCCTGAAGAAATAAAATAAAATAAGGCTGCAGTAGTTGAAGTATGAGTAACTATCCTGGAGAGACTGGCAGGGATATAATTTAAAGGTTTTAAGCAGGGGAATGACTTCTATAATAAACATCTAAGTGGTGAAATCACTCCGGCGACAGATCCTATCTGCCAAGAGAACACAAACTGATCACATCAAGTTCCTCCTTTCAAACTTCCAAAGGCTCCCAGCCCTACTTATCATTACATGACAAGGGTCAGAAATCCTTACACAACTTAGAAAGCCCTTTTCAATACCACTCTGATTTACCTTTATGGTTAGTTTACCTATTTTCCTTTCCAAACTATCTTCAGCTACCTCACTTTACTTTTCAATACAAATGTCTCACTGTTCTCAGCACTCTGACACTACTACAGCTCTCCTCCCCTCTTCAATACTTCTTTTTTCTGATATTTGACTGGAAATCTGATACTGTTACAGTTCAAGGCATTTTTACCCACAGTTCAATCTCTCTTTCCAACTGTGTTAGAATGGGCCAGGCACAGTGGCTCACACCTTTAATCCAGAGGTCAGGAGTTCGAGACCAGCAAGGCCAACAACATGGTGAAACCCCGTCTCTATTAAAAATACAAGTTAGCTGGGCGTGGAGGCACGTGCCTATAATCCCAGCTACTAGGGAGGCTGAGGCACTAAACTTGGGAGGTGAAGGTTACAGTGAGCTGAGATCAAGCCACTGCACTCCAGCCTGGGTGACAGAGCAAAGCTCCGTCTCAATTTAAAAAAAAAAAGAATGACTGCATTTCTACAAAATTCTCAGAAATTTGCTGCTGATATGATGTCATGTATCAATTCAGATACATGATACTATGTTTCCTTCCTACTTCAAAGCATATTCCGTTCCTCTGAGGTTCCATACCAAAGCCCAAAATTCTCTTAATGACAATGGACAGATTTTTTTTCTTTTTTCTTTTTTTTTGAGACAAGGTCTCCCTCTGTCACCCAGGCTGATGTGCAGTGGAGCAATCATCACACAGCTCACTGCAGCCTCAACCTCCCAGGCTCAAGTGATCCTCCCACCTCAGCCTCTCAAGGAGCTGGGACTACAGGTGTGCACCCCTACGCCCAGGTAATTTTTTAATCTTTTGTGGAGACAGGGTCGCACTATTGTTACCTAAACTAGTCTCGAACTCCTGACCTCAGCCTCCCAAAATGTTGGAATGACAGGTGTCGGTCACTTCTCTGGGACTACAAGTGTGCGCCACCATGCCCAGCTAATTTTTTAATCTTTTGTAGAGACAGGGTCTCACTATGTTGCCTGAGCTAGTCTCAAACTCCTGGCCTCAGCCTCCCAAAGCGTTGGGATTACAAGCATGCGTCACTGCACCCAGCCAAGACTTTTTTTTAAAGGCAATAAAACCTCAAGTCAACCTAGAAGTCAGGATCATTGCATCAAGATCACCAGTGGAACCAAACATAAACTGTCCTAAATATCAGAATCAAAGGCATGAGTTCTTTTTTTCTTTTTGAGACGGAGTCTCACTGTCCCCCAGGCTGGAGTGCAGTGGCACGATCTCGGCTCATTGCAACCTCCACCGCAGGGCTCATGTGATTCTTGTGCCTCCGCCTTCCCAGTAGCTGGGACTACAGACACGCACCACCATGCCTGGCTAATTTTTGCATTTTTAGTAGAGGTGGGGTTTCGCCATGTTGCCCAGGCTGGTCTCCAACTCCTGGCCTCAAGCAATCCACCCACCTCAGCCTCCCAAAGTGCTAGGATTACAGGCATAAGCCACCACGCCTGGTCAAAGGCATGAGTTCTTAACCAGAGGTCCATGGACTCCTCAGGGCTACAAGGTAGTTTTATGAAGCCCCTCAAACTGCATGCAAAGTACGTGTACATGCCTTTTTCTGGGGAGAGAGGGTCCATACCTTTCATCAGAGTTTCAAAGATATCTGTGACCTCCAAAAGGTTAAGAAGTGCTCTAGAGAAAAAGCAAAGACAAGCAAATGTGATTAAAGAGCGAGTCCTTTTTAGGCTGTCAGGAGTGCCTAATGTTCTCTTAGACTGTAACACTGAAATCAGGTCAGAGGACTTTATGAAAAAGTTACTTATCCAGTCAAATACAAGTTTAATATAGATCTGACAAACACAGATTAGATGGAAGGAGGAACTCCATAAACCAACACAATTATAAAAGCAAGTAAGTCATGGGGCAGCTGGTGACTTACTCTAGGGATTTGAAAAATAGGATAAATAGCCAGGAGTGGTGGCTCATGCCTGTAATCCCAGCACTTTGGGAGGCCGAGGCGAGCGTATCACAAGGTCAGGAGTTTGACACCAGCCTGGCCAATATGGTGAAACCCCATCTCACTAAAAATATAAAAATTAGCCAGGCATGGTGGCACATGCCTGTAGTCCCAGCTGCTCGGGCGACTGAGGCAGGAGAACCGCTTGAACCTGGGAGGTGGAGGAAGCAGTGAGCTGAGACTGTGCCACTGCACTCCAGCCTGGGCGACACAGCGAGACTCCGTCTCAAAAAAAAAAAAAAAAAAAAAAAAAGACAAATAGGAAGAAAATATTAAGTCTTCTATGCATAGTTCCTTTTTGTCTCATTCAAAAATTCCTTTTCTATGTTTTATAATGGTACAGAAGCATACAATTTCTATAAGTACAGTATATATACACCAAGTAGAGATGATTGCTCAATTTTTCTTTTACTCATCACAATAACTATCAGGAGACCACTGATATAGTCTATGCATTTCAGTACCACCAAGTTAACGATAACTCAAGAATAACACAAAAACCCACTAACAGAGTTTAGAATCCAAGAGTAAGAAAAACATCAGCTTTCACAGAAAGACTAGTTGTGGTCAACTAATAAGTGACTAAAGAAAGGTCCTCTCCCTACCCTTAAGCTTTCTTCACAACAACAAAAACAAACAAAAAAACACTTCAAGCTTTAAAGGATCACTTTTCAGTTTCAGCTGTATCAGCCTGGTTTGTCCAAAGCATCTAATAGGAAATCTACCTGTGAAACCACAGAGAATTAATCAAGATTAGTTTATCCTAAAAGAAAATACTCTTTGAAATTTTCTTCTTTTTAATACATTTTTTAACTTTTTTTTTTTATCTATCTTAGTTGTTTTCAATCTACCTTAAATAAACACTCTCTCTTCCAGGAAAATAATAATCCAAGTATGAGAAAACTACCAAGATTCTCATAAGACAATTTAAAATAGCTTCTGTGATTCAGTGTCACCCAATGGTAACACCAGGAGATGCAGGGCCCATCGAGATATGAAATGGAACAGAGATAATCTTAACCTTGGAATTGTTTTTCCCAAATACTGCAAGTATGAATTCTCTCTGGTGGTAGGAGATGGTGTGTGAGGAAGGCTGGCAAGTGGAGAACCGCGTGAGAGAACTCGAAAACTTTTAAATCTGAGGTGTATGTACTTCTATCTCAAGGCCTCCTCAACCCCAGGCTTCTAAGGTGCGACCGATCTTCTGAGAGGCCTTTCCCTGGTTTAAAAATTCTGCCTGGGGGCGTAATCCCACCTAGAAAAGGGGAGTATCTGGGATCTATTCAAATAGAAACACACAAAAATGCCACCATCTGCTAATAGGCGAATCTCAGCTTCAGAAGACAGGCTGGAAACATCGTCCCAGGGAAGAAAAAGGGAACCTGGGTCCGACGTGGGGCAAAGAGGAGGGATCAACTGACGTAATGCAGACCAGAAGACCAACGAGGTGTATAACAGGTAGAAGGCACTTACACAACCTGGTGGACAAGGGTGACGGACGATACAACGACGAAGGGAACAGAAATAACAAAAAAAAAATAGCAGTAAAACCGTGAGGAGAAATGGGAAATTAAGGGAGGCGTAGTGTGGAAGGGTGGCACAAAAGAGCTACGGCGGGAGCCGAGAAACAAAGTGGAAAAGGCTGCAAGGAGAACACGTAGGAGAAGGCGCAAGTCACTCTGCAGAATTCAGTTCCCAGAAAAGTCCAACTCAGCCCTTCCCCAATTAACGGTACCTTCAGCTTATGGAGCTCCACCGTCTCGGTCGCCATCTTGCTACCCCTCACTCCACTAAGCCCCCACCCTTGGCCTCCGCCTCCAGGAGCTCCCGCCTTAGGCGTAGAGATGCAAGGCTGACCAATCGCTGTCACTCTTGCTCCCACTACATACCATCAGCTCTTCCCATTGGTCTATGGCTGACGTCCCTCCTACGTCTCTCGGCAGCTTTCCCCACCTCTTTCAAAAGGTGGGACAGAGAGAGGGGCGGGCACTGTATCTTGCGAACGACAGAAGTGGCAACCAATTGTGCGTCTGCATCACAGACCACCAACCAATGGGTGGTAACACCGCTGATTATGTTCCTCCAATAGGGAAGGGGCAGACGGAGAGGAGTCACTTCCTGGAGACTTCAGGTGTGGTAGCTGGCGCCTTGCTCATAACCAGACAGGGATCTGAAGCTGGCAGGTAGGGGCTGCGAGGACTGGAAGGGTTGCTAAGGATATATGGTGGGAGGTGAAAGGAGCGCCGAGGAAGCGGTGACTTAAATGCTGAGAAACGAATGCTGAAGGGAGCCCTGAAAAAAACCGACGAACGTGAGAGGAGGAAGCTGGGAGGGCATGGGGCGGGCTTAAGGAACTGGCGGGGGGGCTGGGGCGGGCAAGAGCCGCTTCCTAACCAGACATCATCAGCTTTAGAGCTACCACAATTTTAAAAAGCCGAGTTCAGATGATCACTGCCGCCCCTGGAGTCACAGCTAAGGCTCCATCTCTCGAGACGTTGAGCGCAGGTTCCTTCCTAACCCAATCCAGAAGGCGTGGGCAAGTTGTTGTGCCCCACGCTTGAGAGAAGTAATGGGGATGCTGACTGCTGACATGCCACGGAGGTGAGAGAGGGTGGACAAGCCCCAGAGAACAAGGTTGGGACTAGAGATTTACTCTTGTCATCCCTTCTTAGTGGTTCTTTGATGATTCCATGACATTCTCCTGGAATTCTGGGTGTGCGTGACCTCTTCATGGTCAACTTTTTCAGGAAAGTGAGATACTCCTGTTTCCCTTGCTCCCTGAAGTGAGCGCCCCAAGCCTACGCATACACCTTCATGTTACAGTTGAAGCGTAAAGATCAGTGAAAAAATGACTATGTCTCTAAAATGTAGTGAGGATTCTTCTTGCCTTTTAAAGTTTTCCCCAAGTCTTCAGTTTTTATTTTCTGCGTGATGGGGAAGTTCTTCATTCCCAATAGAGTTCAGGGAATCTGAGAGACAGCTGGGAGAAAGCTCAAAAAGGTTTCTGAGAAAAAACTGAGTTGGACCCTACCTGATCCCCATTATGGCTAGGATGAATGTGGGGGTGGCACACAGCGAAGTAAACCCCAACACTCGAGTGATGAATAGCCGAGGCATCTGGCTGGCCTACATCATCTTGGTAGGACTGCTACATGTGGTTCTACTCAGCATCCCTTTCTTCAGCATTCCTGTTGTCTGGACCCTGACCAACGTCATCCACAACCTGGTGAGCTCTAAACCATGCCCTTGTACCCATCCCAGAGTTTCCCAACCACAAGCAAAATAAAATTACCAATTTTTTGGGGATTTGTATCTTCCTTTTGGGATCTTAACATAATTCTTGGACTGAAGAACTACTTTCTGCCCCTCACACTACCACCCTCCCTGTTCCCAGGCTATGTATATCTTTCTTCATATGGTGAAAGGGACACCCTTTGAGACTCCTGACCAAGGAAAGGCTCGGCTGTTGACACACTGGGAACAAATGGACTATGGGCTCCAGTTTACCTCTTCCCGCAAGTTCCTGAGCATCTCTCCTATTGTGCTGTGAGTCTATGAGGGAAATGGGGATATGCTGGGTTAGAAAGAGCTCCAAGAGCCAGACAGAAGGGCCCATAGGGAAGCTGTTAAAAAGCAGGCTACCCATCTAAAACCCTTTGAAGAAATTATGGTATACTAGTTCTAAGCCTACAGAGAGCAATAAAATGTAGAAGACAATACTGTCATCAAGCATTCCTTGCTGCCTCCTTGGTAGTAAGAAAATGAAGGGACTAAGATAAGAGCCAAGTAAAACCAAATGATTTTACACTGCCAAAAGAAGTAAATAAAGGCAGAACTGATAATAATCTTCAAAAGCACTGTAGGGAGTAGAAGCAAAGAAGACTCTTAACAGTCAGACAGACTGAAATAGCCTCAGCTGTCATTTGCCATGTCATTAACAATGAACAGAAACTGATTTATAGTCTCCAGTTAAAGGTACTATCTCCTGAACCCCAGAGTAAATGCTGTTGATATAGCTGGAATATTTTAAGATAATTTAGGACTACATACAGTAAAACTGGTCATTTTAAATAGAAGAGAAAGAACAGGGCACTGCAGTGCATGCCTGGAGTCCCAACTACTTGGGAGGCTATGGCAGAAAGATTGTTTAAGCCCAGGAGTTTAAGGTTGTACTGCACTTATCACATTTATGAATAGCCACTGCACTCCAACCTGGGAAACATAATGAGAACTGCCTCTTAAAAAAAACATATAGGCCGGGCGCGGTGGCTCAAGCCTGTAATCCCAGCACTTTGGGAGGCCGAGGCGGGTGGATCACGAGGTCAAGAGATCGAGACCATCCTGGTCAACATGGTGAAACCCCGTCTCTACTAAAAATACAAAAAAAAAATTAGCTGGGCATGGTGGCACGTGCCTGTAATCCCAGCTACTCAGGAGGCTGAGGCAGGAGAATTACCTGAACCCAGGAGGCGGAGGTTGCGGTGAGCCGAGATCGCGCCACTGCACTCCAGCCTGGGTAACAAGAGCGAAACTCCGTCTCGGGGAAAAAAAAAAAAAAAAAACATATAGGCCAAGGCGGGTGGATCACAAGGTCAGGAATTCGAGACCAGCCTGGCCAAGATGTTGAAACCCTGTCTCTACTAAAAATACAAAAATTAGCTGGGCGCAGTGGCACGCGCCTGTAATCCCAGCTACTCAGGAGGCTGAGGCAAGAGAATAGCTTGAACCTGGGAGGCAGAGGTTGCAGTGAGCTGAGATTGTGCCACTGCACTCCAGACTGAGTGATAGAGTGAGACTCTGTCTCGAAAAGAAAAGAAAAAAAAAAAACATATAGAGAAGGCTACCCTCACTCACCCTATTTTTTTCTCTCCTCAGCTATCTCCTGGCCAGCTTCTATACCAAGTATGATGTTGCACACTTCCTCATCAACACAGCCTCATTGCTCAGTGTACTGCTGCCAAAGTTGCCCCAGTTCCATGGGGTTCGTGTCTTCGGCATCAATAAATACTGAGGGATGGGTTTTGGGACAGCTCCATGGGCATGGGGAAGGCACTGAAACAGAGGACCATAAAAAATCTTTCTCTTCTCCATACCATCTTCTACATCTTGAAAGCCTGAGAACTATGCAACCTTTCCCAGACTCCCAAGAAAAGAAGAGATTGGCAAATGGGGATCCTAGGCCCAGTCCTGCTAGCGGCAAGTTTCTTTACCCGGTGAGGTAAGGGCCGGATCATTCTACTCCATAGCAGGAAGCCATTTGGGCAGCTTGTTTGGCGATTACATCTTTCCATATCTTCTACACCTACCACCTTCCAGCTCTGTTTTGCTGCGTATTTTTCTTCTAATAATTTTTTTTAGCTATGGCTGCAGTTTAATCAGCAGGAAGGGTAGGGAACTGTCCTCATAAGGCTGGCAGGGGTGGGGGAAGATGGAATACTGACCTAATGTAAAAAACTTAAAGCAATTCTCCAATCCCCTCTACTGTGGTCCAGTAAGAGGTGCTCTTCACTCTAAACTTAACACTTAATAGGGAACAGATTCTCAAATGAGAAAAAGGGCTCCAGCTGTATGGGCAAAAAAGAGGGAAGATACAGGTTGCCAGTTATACATTTATAGAAAGATAATCCCCTGGCTTTAAATAGATATGTACATACAAATATGAACAAACTTAAAAAAAAATACAAACCCTTGGATCACAAGGGGGCTTCTGGGAACCCCCATATCCTTCCCCCTCACCCAAGGGCAGTGGGCATGAATCTACTTTTTAAAAATGATTAATTTTGGCCATCCTTGCAGAAAACAGCTTGAAATTGGGTGATTTACCCACAAAGTGAAAGTCAAGGGAAAATTCAGTTTCCACTCTCTGAACTCATGTATCTCCTATCATTAGGGCTATATGCTTTCTTGTTCTGTCTTTTAACTATTATATCAGGGAAAAGGAGAGGACTCCCTCCTGAAATGGGTCAGGAAAGAAGATAGACTTGTACCTTTAAAGGACAGGAAAAACTGTCATCTGCTCTAAAAGCAAATGACAAGAGAAAGGCATACAGACCCCAGGGAAATACCCAGTTCCCACACCTCAAAAGGGTTACATTGTCCAGCCAAGGTCCAGGCCCTAGGTTCTTTACTCTAGCTACCCCCTATTTCTTTGGTATTGTCAAAAGACAAGATTCAGGCCGGGCGCGGTAGCTCATGCCTGTAATCTAGCACTTTGGGAGGCCAAGACAGGTAGATCACCTGAGCTCAGGAGTTCTAGACCAGCCTGGGCAACATGGTAAAACACTGTCTCTACTAAAAGTACAGGAAAAAAAATTAGCCTGGCCAGGCATGGGGTGCGCACCTATAGTCCTAGCTACTTGGGAGGCTGAGATGGGACAATTGCTTGAACCCAGGAGATGGAAGTTGCAGTGAGCTGAGATTGTGCCACTGCACTCCAGCTGGGCAACAAAGCAAGACTCCATCTCAAAAAAAAAAAAAAGATTCGGTTCCTGGGTGCCGGGAGAGGAGGGACAAATCAAACTCCATCCTGTGCTGTATACATCCTTTTGACTCCCTGACGTTGATTTGAGGAAAGAGAAGGTATCATCAGCGTTGGAAGGGCCTCCTCACTTTCTTCCGCCGCTTCGTTTTGGCTTCTCCCTTGGGTACTGTGCTGTTGGGCTTAGAGGCTGCAGTGGCTCCAGGGGCAGGCTGAGGAGCTGCAAAGAAGTTCCCATTGGGCATCTGCCCTGGGGGTACTTGAAAGATCCGGCTCAAGAAATCCTGGAGATCAGCAGGAGGAGCATCTGGGGTAGCTCTGAGATAAAACAGAAGAAATGATAAGGCAAGAGATGTTGGAGTTACA